TGCTCTTTCCAACTGTAATTGCTGGTCATTCAGGATCCTCATCTCAAGAGACCTTGACCACAAAGAACATAAAAAGAAATGTGTGAAAACCCATATTTTCAAGAAATGCAACTTCAGTTTATCACATCAGCACTGGCAAGGAATGAATTACAAAAATTATTATTAGTCTTGTTTCTAGATGACTGTCATCTGGGACATTGCAACGACCCTTACTCATTGCCCTGATAATGGACAGAGCAAGTACCTCTAAAACATCAAAAATGTTCTACCAGACTACACGGTGTGATATCCCAGATGACAGTCATCTTCATACGTGCTACAATAAGAACCTAAATTCTTACCTACAAATACACATCATTTCAACTTTATAACTTGTGAAACTGTCATGCAATTATATCGCAATCTGTGATCAGGATGCAAATTCTGTAACAGCATAAGGTAGCAAGCACAACCTACATGAAACAATTTTAAAATGCCGTGTGAATTGCCTGAATCTGAACTCATTTCAATCACAATGGCTTTTCAAGACTGCCAACAACTTACAAAATAAAATTCACACTCAAATTTTAATTAGCTTGACATAAATTTTAAGAGGGACACTATATATGTAGTAGTTACACCACGAAGGCTACATTGCCAAAATGGAATTTGTCATTTGTACTACGGAGAAAAATGGCAGTTTCAGGTAACTGTAGAGAAGTGTATGCATACAATCTATCAAAAGTTCTACAGCTATTTTATGTTACAATTCTGTAGTGCTATCAGCTAGTGACAAAATATGAGATAATGTAAACACATACTCTGATTTATCCAAGTGGAGTATCTTGTTCTGGAACAATTCTGCTGCCGATGTGAAGTTCTGTACAACGTTTTCAAGGTTAAGAAGAGAAAGATCCCGAGCTTTCACCTCTTTCTTGTAATGTGTAAGGATTGAGTTGACAGAATCGTGCAGGAACGTCGCATATTGTTTTATATCAAGAGGCACCACAAGACTGTCAGCAAGAAGCCATGTAAGAACTGACCACAACTGGGCAACTTCCCTGTGGTGTCCGAGGGCTTCATCACCTGCCTGAAATCATGTTCTTTGTACCAAATAGATCTACAATGCAACTCACTGTATTCGAGAAAAAGAGATTCAGATGCAAATCTGAGTCCAAACTTAACGTTAATGCATTTTAATCAGAATCTACTGCTGAATGCTACTCAGAGTCTAGGTAGATTATTCAGTATAGAGTCTGACTACATACTGGATGACCAGGGTATAATCCCCCGGCAGGGGCAAAGGATTTTTCTTCTAGCCTCTGCATCCAGACTGGCTCTGAGGCCTACCCAGCATCCTATCCAGTGGGTACCAAAGGTCTTTACCCCAGAGGTAATGCACAGCCAGGTTGCGATGCTGACCATTCACCCCCATCTAATACTGAGGTCAAGAAAGGGATATTCCTCATCTCCTCCCCAGCACCTGCATGGCGCGTAGTTGGACAGCTTTACTTTTACTGAACATTAATCATATATATGTCAAAAGAATAACATAACCATGTAGAGCATCTGCATGTTAATACTCTCCGCTACATAAGTGTCTCTTATGTGGTTAAATTTTTACAGAACAGCCTGTAGTTCCACTGTAGGAAAAAGATAATTAACAGCTCAGCAAATACAACTGAATTATTAAAGCACATTATAAAAATGTCTCTGGGTACCATTTCAAAAACATTCAAGCTGTGATGGGATGAAATCCAAAGAAGAGTTTGTTTGATATCCGAACAGAGTACATACCTCTGTAGTGGTAAGATGTACATTTAGACTTGGCACACCAAGATCATACAGAACGGACTGCGCATTTCCTTCCCCCTTTATGATGTTAAGTCTAAAAGAAGGGGGGGAGAGCAAAAATAAGTAACACAAGTTAATAATTTGATGACAGTCACACACATCTCTCTGCAATGCCATAGTAACAAGTCTCTGGTAAGAAATATTAAGAAGTTACTACCACAAATATGACAGACTACTACTAGACAAGATCATGATTCTGATTTAATAAATCTTTTACTTTAAAAGCTTTTCAAGTTTACAGAACAGAAATAAGTCACAAGTTGACACATGCAGTAACTACAAAGCCTATTTCATTTGTGGGATATGATGCCTAGTTAAGAGTCACCGCAGATGCTGGACAGAGCAGGTACGTTAATTTCTGTATTGTATTACACAATCAGCATCACTCTGGCAATGCTGCGCACTTCACGTGTGTTTCTTCTGGTAGCAACGGTGAAGAGGAATTGCAGTTGATAATAAGAACTGTCATGTTGATGGACAGGAAACCAAAGCTCAATGTCAAGTATTTACAGATCTTTGTGTACAAGATTGGATTATCTGTGCTGTAGTGTCTGTTATTTTGGGTTCACATAACCATTCAAAGTCGACAAAGGATAAAGTTTGCTGTCACGAACTGACAAACAGTGCCAGTTACAGAAATTGACTCTGGCTTTTGGATGAAGTGGCTGCAAAGAGTTAAATTGCTTACTTTTGTTTATTTGGATCAACTGACTTCAGCCATGTATCAAACACAGTTTTCACGCCGGGTTTGGCTTCTGCTGGACCAACGCTGGGCACAAGTGAACTCGCATTATATACGGTCTTGAAGAGCAAAGGTGAGGCTTCAACACTCAGACTTCTGTATGCTACACAGAACACAAGATCCAAATGACGAGTTACCATTCAAGCCAGTGTACTGTCACAGTGCACAAGTGTGTCATTGCCTCGGCTCAGCTGTTAAAATATTCCGTATTTTCTCCAAAAGATATCACTCAACTGCTACTAAATCCAAAAAATCATAGCATGAGCTTTAAGAAATTCAAATATGCACAAAGTTTTATCTTTTTTTTTTGTAGAAAACAGTGAAAATCAGACAGTACACAGGGCGAGACTATCACCTATGGCCAAATTATTGTATATGTTAATACAGGAAAGCCACAAATATGTTTCCCCTCATTTCTGCAAACATACTGTAGCAGTAAGTCTTACCTTTGACAGAAATGTCCACACCCAGATACGCTACTGCCCTCTGCCGCATCGAGTGACCCCACTCACTGTTCAGGAGTACTGGGGTGACAATTCCATCGACAGAATTGAAGCCCCAGCTACAGAACACCACAGACCTCCGAGGTCTCCAACCTGAAATATCATAGCCATAACTGCCCAAGGCCTCAAGTAGCTGTTGGTTGTTGCTAAATAGTTCCAATATTGTGCCCTTGATTTACGTGTGTCGTCTACAAGTCTACATAGCATTAGAACCCAAAAACCGAATATGAACCACAGTGAGAACCTCAAATCTTATGCTGTCAAGAGTTTCCTCAACCTAATTCTTCATAGTTCTGCACAGTAAATTTCGTAATTTTTGCTAACAGTTGACAGAAATTAATAATGGAGTTGGTTAAAATTACACTTGTGAGTGAAACAAAAGCCTGTATTTAGTTGTCTGGAAAAAATACTTTTGCTGTTTGGGCAGTTAATTCGTGTAAGTGTTCAGGAAAACTAATGAACACACTTATTTACACTACTTATGAAATAAACAAGTATTTCTATGCATCCTCCAGGACGTGTGCAAATGTGGACTTCCATGGCATTCAAAGTTCTTATTTCTCTGAATCAGTTGAAGAAATGTACCAAAAAAATTCAATTCTGTGTTTCCTAAACTTAAACTATAAAACAAAATTAAATTAAAACACTTCACTTATTTACGAACAAATCTGGACAAGGTATGAGAAATATTCTCTTAGACTTCATATTCGTGTATGGAGAGAGACAACGCTACATTTTGATGGCATAAGGTGGTAGATTTAGCTTCAGTACCACCAAAGGAACAGGTTCCTTCACCCGCTAGGCCATCAAGTCTAACATGGATTCGCTCTTACGTATCATTACAACTGAATTCTCTTACCTCTCTTTGAGATGAGCATGTTGAAGACTCGAGCTACTTCCATCATGGATGCCATTGCACCAAAAGTATAATTTCCAGAAAGTAACCCATGGCTGCTTCCAAGCAAGACATAACGATCTGTACAACAGAGAAAAATAAAGAACTGCAGAAAATTAAGACACATCTGAGTAAGGCCAAGTCATAAGAAACAGTGTCTGATATGTAACATTCTTGTAGCTTCAACGTATAACATGAAGGTGATACGTTCCTCCGAAACACTGGTAACCACCTATGAGACTACACGGTGTCAGAACGCAGATGACGACATTGAACATAAACAATTATGTCCCACTGTACATTAAAGGAAAATTTATTCCAACACGTCAATCAAAAGTATGTAAACCCACAAATGAGACTGTCTATCGTAGCAGGGTAAATCGAGCGTTAAGTCCCACAGTAACCGAATAAGATGTCTATGTGTCTGCTATTAAGCGACAACAGATACAGAAAACTGTTACCAACCTGGCTCATGACTGCCTCTGATGGCCCCTGTAACACTGTAGTACGTCTTTTTTAAATTGACCATATTCATTTCCATTTTAAGCTTCCAAATGTTTGATGAGAACTCAGGGCCAGTCTGATAAGAAATACTCATACTTCCCTTCCAGCTCTCTGGAAAAGGGTCACTGGATGACATTCTACTGCAATAGAACCACACACCAGTAGTTAACATACTCTGTCTGAACCTTGATCCACCATCTTGGACAAAGTTACATCCAATCTCCTCCTAATCAATTAGAACACAATCACACTCATTTCATAAATTTTATACATCACCAAATATGAAAAAAATATCTGATACCTTTCAAATCAAAATTGAATACAACTGACAAGCGTTAATATACACACCTAGTACCATATTTCATAAGAATTCAAAAAACAGTTCTGGACATGAAAAATACACAGACAGATGGACATGACATTCACATAATACTGTTTCATGCCCTTTTTCAAAGAACAATTAAACAAACAAATACATCGTACACAAAAAACCTCTTTTAACGCTGCCCTGCATTACCAGCATTTAATGTGGTACAACTGTACACAGGTCACATAAATTTCTACCATCATTCTTATTTTTTAAAAAATTATTGGCTACAATAATAAAACTGACTAGAAGGATTAAAACTACAAAATAGACTGTGGAAACACTGACGAGTAACTTACGTCAATATATACTTGGCATCTTCAGCACTGATGATTTGCAGTGGAAGGCAGTTAGTAATATCTGTATAGCAAATTGAGAAAAAGAATTTCACATCAGTAGCTTTCCATATGAATGTACTAACCTAAAAGAGAAAGTTATACAGACAGATACAGATACAGATTTCCGAGCTGTTAGTAGCTGGGGGACAGAAAATAGGAAGCACAACTGCGAGTGATGAATAATAAATAGTTGTGATCCTCCAGTCTGAGGCAATAAAGAACAATCGTTGGTTACAGCGGTAACAAAGCGGTCTGTAGCGGATGAGAATGCCTTCTGAAGGAATTCACGCTTCAAGTGAAAATACCACAATGGACCAGTATCCGGCAAACTTTTTTTACCCGTAGCATGCCCTAGTTTGTCAAGGACACATGATGGCATATGACAAATAAAAATGGGGTGCTAAACTATGCATGAACATGCATCTATATATAAAACCTTGCCCCATAAGAACACTGGCATTTAAAACCAAGCACATGTTGCTTAAACTATTGACAATAAACCCGCGCATGTACCATAAATTATTATAAAAGACAAGATATTGCCTTCGTCTAACTGTAATGTGCAAATATATAATTTTGTATAAAAATCCATGGCACATCTGAGGCCTTGTGGTGGCATATTGGTCGCAAAACACTAATAGACAAAAATGTTAATCAGGTAACAGTAGAAGCTGATTTTAAACACAAAGAGATAAACTACCTAGAGTTAAAACACATGTTCAGAATGTCTAGCAATCGCTGTTCACACTGAATTACCTGTAATGGCATCAGCGAACAACTTGGCACGTGGGTAACATCACAATTCTAATAAACTCATAGTGATTCTACTAGTAATTGAAAACGCATTTGGCTCGAGACTCAACTGCACAACTTGAACTGGTATCCAGAACTGAAAACTGAGATAAATGTTTTCGGCAAGGTGTGACCAAGACGTCCATGTCGACAGTTACGAGCCACCTGTAATGGTCACTCAAGCAACAAATAGTTTGTCCATAGTTATACAATATGGCAAATTCTGTATAAACATTCTAAAATCTGTAAGAACTTACTGATTCCTTCTGTGGCTGGATTTCCATGCATTTTCTGCAGGATTCCTAGTTGTGAAGGCAACAGGAATGGCTCGGCCCCCTTTTCAATATCAGGATACTGTTCAGGATCAGCAAACAGTATAATTCCTACTGCTCCCTTTTCCAGGCATGTGTGCACCTGGAAAGGTAGGATTAAAATGTGGATGTGGTAATCAATTTAAAGGTTGATGCACGCAAAACTGAGTATGGTGTATGGTTTAGCCGACTCGAACCCAAAAGAATGTCATCCTCATATCTCCTGCCATACCTGGCACCATGAAATTATGATTACATCTCTTGTTTGTATGTGGAATTTATGAGCATGACTCTTACAGCACCTTGTCGTGGTGGTGGGGCTTGAATACCTCAGTGATCCCAAGAGCTAAGCTGGCGGTAGCATAACTAATGGTAGGGCCTCCCTAGCCAGATTGGTCGAGGGGGAGAGGTCAGACTAAGATAGGTACCCTGGTCCTCCAGGTTGGGGGTTGGTCGCAAGGCTAACAACCTTGCACCGTAAAAAGGAAGATGTTTCAAAAACTCAATCAAAGCCTCGGATAGAATGGACCTAACAATAGGACCGAATTGAAGAGGAGAATTGAGGAGGCCATGGACCAAATACGGACCGGAGAGCCATAGAAGAAGAAGAAGACTCTTACAGCTAAAAGATAATGTAACAAATGAATAGATATTCTCTTCCTTTTCCAGTTTAACAATGTTTATAAGTTCTCCGGTACCCTTTTACGGGTCCCCAACTTTTTTTAGTTGGCTTGATCTATGGACATTCGGTAGGACTCCTTGGACGAGGGATCGGCCCGTCGCAAGGCCTCTACCTATACACAGGACAGCACAATACAGAAAAACATCCATGGCTTGAGTGGGATTCGAACCCACAGTCCCCGCGACCAAGCGGCACAAGGCCCATGCCTCAGACCGCACGGCCAATGCGGACCCCACAAATGAATAGATAAAAACTAAAAATACTATACATACGAAGGAGTTTCACAATTTTAACTTTCCATTTAACAGTGTTAGGGTAATTAAGTTAAGAAAATTAACATTTTTAACACATTTATAATTACAGTGGGAGACAATAAATGCATAAAAATATCTATGATTGAAAACCCTCAATCATCGTGACAATCTATGGATCATAGTAAGATGAATGTTAGATAAATATTTTGCAGGGCGTGAAACTGGAATGGACTGGCTAAGGATATGGCCCAATAGTAGGCTTTAATGACCTGCTTAATAACAATCTTCAACTGAAGAAAGACCTTATATCATGCAGATACCAACATTTTAGGTTAATTATTTTTATGTTACAACTTACCAAGTCCACAGGTGACTCCTTCCCCAAACGAGCCAACAAAATCCTTCCCTTGATACTAACAGAAAGAGTTTCCAGATACGCGAAGTCGCTGTCCCTACCGAAATTAATATAAGCAACTGTACCCTGTAATAAAAGCACATTTTACTTACTATCATATAACAATACAGAATGCGAATTACAGCTACGCTACACAAATACGCCAATGAGGACTGCAAACCTCAGAGAGAAAGTTAAAACCATTAATACAACATGATGTTGGTTTCAAGGCAAGGTTGGAAAGATGTATTCCTTGGAGTACACTGAAATTCCAAAGGTGTTCTTCATGAAACATCACAGGTGGCAATTTCATTGATAGCAGAACACTTCATTCTTAATTTATTATGATTTATCATAAATAGCATCAGTGTATTCAACATAATATAAGACAGTAAAATAATATGAATTGACACACAGCATGTCTGAATTACAAACTATATTAAAATACGAAGGTAAATAACACCCCACTTAATGGTACCTGCACCTTGTCGTGGTGGTGGGGCTTGAGTACCTCAGTGACCCCAAGAGCTATGCTGGCGGTAGCATAGCTACTGGTAGGGTTGGTCGAGGGGGAGAGGTCAGACTAAGACAGGTACCCTGGTCCTCCAGGTTGGGGGTTGGTCGCAAGGCTAACAACCTTGCACCGTAAAAAGGAAGATGTTTCGAAAC